AATATTCCGAAATCACTGCGCATGCGCACAGAAACCCATTAGTGCGCATTTCACAGACTACACGAGGAAGAATTAGTAATGCACTTCTCCCTATAAAAAAAGTTCTCCATTACACTTGAATTGGTTAATATAATACAATCAACCCCTCCACCATTTTGGTGAATAAAATGCTCACAATTGTGATCTATGTTTCATTTCTCTAATGATGTGAAAATATTTTTAATCTCACCGATGGCCATAGCCTATGTGAATAATATTTTCCTTTTTTTAGTTATAACCCTTGCCATGTGCTCCAGACAAGTGATATTAAAAAGCAGTGTCTCCGACCCTCTGACAACCAGAAGTTGACCATAAAATTGTGCTGGAAAATCTAGAGATTCCTAAGAATGGATCTGGTCCAGGTTACCTGACCAAATGCATCTCCCTTTATGAGCCAACTAGAGCACTAAGATCGGCTGGGGGAGGCCCTGCGCTCAGTCCTGCCATCCTCGCAGATGCGACTGGTGAGGACAAGAGACAGGGCCTTCTCAGTGGTGGCCCTTCAGCTGTGGAACTCCCTCCTTAGCCAAATTAGGTCGATCCCCTCCCTCCTGGCATTTAGAAAACAACTTAGAACTTGGCTATTCAAGCAAGCATTCAGTGAGTGATAGCAATAATGAAGTAGTTAAATAACAACCTCGGGACTGGTGCAATGTCTAAAGTGTTTCATGTCTGGGTGGTTGTAGGTTTCTCGGGCTGTATGGCCATGTGCCAGAAGCATTCTCTCCTGATGTTTCACCTACATCTATGGCAGGCATCCTCAGAGGTTGTGAGGTTTTATGTCTATTTTTGATATTTTATAGTTTTAATGGTTTTAATCCAGTTACACATTATTTTTTGATATGTTATGTATTTTTACGTATTTGTGAGGCATTGAATTTTGCCATTTATTACATTGTAAACCACTTTGTATTCCCCTAGGGGTGAGAAAAGCGGTATAGAAATGCAATAAAAAATAAATAAGAAGTGTTCTCTCAGGAAAATAAAATCAGTGAGTTTTTGTTTTGTTTTTCCAGTTTTGTGTGGGTCCTTCACCCCTAGGGCTGATTATACCAAATAAAGGCAAATATTACTTTAAATTGGACTCACCCTTTCCCCCCACCTCTGGGGAGACAACAGACTTGCATTGTGTTCTGTCTTGGAGAACCACTGGGCTGCAATGCTGAAATGCAGTTTCTTTTTCATTAACAGCATCTCTTAAAGGAGATGTGGTCTCTTCACCAATGCTTCTGTTTTCTTGGATTATGCATTTCTTTGTAGTAATCTCAGTAACCTCATCAGATGAAGCCTGTTTGATAGGGTTCCTATCATTACTTTGCACTGGATTGTGATAGCGTTGGCAGGGAGAACCTGGGACATTGGTTTGCTTCAGCCGAGCATTCAATAAAGAGACTTGTGTTCTCAACATCTCGTTTTCTTGCTCTAATTTGTGGTGATCAATGAGCAGGGCACAGAACCTGTCGAGGTCCCGATCTGCCTCTATAGTATTATCTTCAAGGGAATTTCTCAATTTTTCCATTTCCTGGGTGTTATCTGCCTCCACAGTTCTCTCTTCAAATGATCCCTGCAGCTCTTCCATCTCTTCTGTACCAATATCCTTATGACAACCTACAGAAAACAAGCTGTTACTGTCTCTGGAGGATTGTAAACAAAGCCTTCACAATATTTTCAGGTGAAGTACATTGGATTCAAATGAGAAAATGTCTCAAAAAGTGCTAAACACATTTGAAAAGTCTGTTTCAAAAAGCCAAGAACACCAGAAATGTCACCTACTTTTTCAGATATATACCCATATTACTTGAGCCTAATGTGCCATTGAATGTAATGTGAACCTCAATTTTCAAAACCCTGAAACCAAAACAAGAATTTGCTGCCAAATGTAATGTGCAGCGGCAAAAAGTGCACTCTTTCTAATATGGCCATTACTGTTGCTGTCTGCTTAGAATTATTTATTTAAAAACAAAAACTCAAAAGCTTTCAGCAATGGAAAAGAAAACTTTGGGGTGCATTTATGCTATAGAATGAATAATAATAATAACAACAGCTTGCAATCCCAGGCAACAGCTGGATTGAAGAGAAACAACTGGAAAAGCTGACACGATATGAGGATTTAAAAATCGAACTGCAAAGTCTCTGGCACAAGCCAGTCAAGGTGGGCCCAGTGCTGATCAGCACACAGGGTGCAAAACCTAAAGACCTTGGCCTGCACTTAAACACAATTGGTGCTGACAAAATTACCATCTGTCAGCTGCAAAAGGCCACCCTACTGGGATCCGCACGCATTATTCGCAGATACATCACACAGTCCTAGACATTGGGAGTGTCCAACGTGCGATCCAATACAACAGCCAGCATAGTGATCTTGTTTGCTGTGTACTAATCTTGTTGTGATTCAAATAACAACAAGAATAACTCAAGGCAGCTTACAAGGGACAAGTCCGAAAATTACAGATAAAAACAACCACATTAAAATCAATCAAATAAAAACATAACACAAACAGAACAACAACATCATAAAAACAATATCATGGCTGAAAACAAAATCAGAGCTGGGTCCGGGCTCGAGTAAGTGCAGTGAACTCCTAAGTAGAGGCGAGGGAAAGTGCAAAAATTCAAATGTGCCAAATTAAAGGAATACCTTTGGCCATAAAGCGTCGAGATTAATGGGAGGTTGGCCCAACTAAAGTGCAGGAGTTTATATAGGGTCCACTTTAACTTCTCTGGATCAATACTATAGAGTCATAGGGACTATAGTTTTACAAGGCCTTGAGCCTTCTCTGCTTGTTGGGTGTCATCCTGGACTTCACAAGTCTTAAGTACCCAATGAGTAGTTAGACTAAGAAAGCAGGAATAGAATGAGGGATTCCATTCTCTATTCCAATGCATGCCTTCCCAGAAGGGGCTTTCTGTCTCTACTCCTCTCTTCCTATTTGCTACTATCCCCTCTCCACTTGAAGTAGTAGAAATGTGATCTCTTTGAGGTATTGCCATTTTGATTGGGCTTGGGCTACAACCACATGGTCGGCCTCTATTTTCTCTCTCTCCTGCCTTTTGTCTCCTCCTGTGAAGATGCATCTTGCCATTCTCCAGGCAAGATGTTGCTGAATGCATATTTTTCTGATATCTTTACCTTTGCCTACTACTTACACAGATCTCCCATCTTCAGCTGCATCTCAAGCTTGTGAATCTTGTCCATCATGAGCTCTTTTTCCTGCTTCATTTCTCTATAATTTCCTAACCATTGCTGAAATTTATGATGCAAAGCAACATATGCTTTTTTAAGATGCTCCTCCTGAAAAACATTTTTGAAAAAGCACACAAGTTGTTATTGCCACATAAACGTCACAGATAATAAGCATACTGCCCTGTTCACCTCTTTGTTTTTAGACCTAGTACAAGGTCTGGGAACTTTTCTTTAACACCTTAAACATCTTGAAACCTAAATTACTGAAACAGCAGTTTTTCCCATACCAATTTTCCTGTAATTTTAAAATCTTCCATTGAGGTCTCACTTGAATTGCCTTCCTAACTGGGCATGCACTAAAATTAGATTTTAACACCATATTAGGTTTTAGAAGTGAGTTGGTGAGGTTTTGCATATAGCTCTGGTGGTAGATGGCATGGCTGTTGAGACATTACTACACCAATGAAATTGTTAGGTCATGTTTGACTTAATCTGTAAGTATCACGTTATAACTTGCTTTTATAAGCGGGGTTATTTTGGGTGATTGTGTTTTATCTGGTACTGTACTGAGGCATTCAATGTTTCCCTTATTTGCTTTTAATCCACCCTGAGTCCCCTTGGGGAGATAGGGCGGAATATAAATTAAGTTTTATTATCATTATTAGTATTAGTATATTAGTATCAGTATTATATAGGAACCCGTGGTGGCGCAGTGGGTTAAACCCTTGTGCTGGCAGGACTGAAGACTGAAAGGTTGCAGGTCCGAATCAGGGGAGAGTGTGGATGTGCTCCCTCTGTCAGCTCCAGCTCTCCATGCGGGGATATGAGAGAAGCCTCCCACAAGGATGGTAAAACATCAAAACATCCAGGCGTCCCCTGCGCAACGTCCTTGCAGATTATCTCACACCAGAAGCGACTTGCAGTTTCTCAAGTCGCTCCTGGCACGGAAAAAAAAATCAGCATCATTACTATTAATATTATTAACATGGCTCATCAAGATACTATGTTTTAAATACAGTTAGCCCTCTATATTTGCTGGTTTCACTTTTGCAGATGTGATTAATATGTTCTCTCCAGGTCCTCCAGTGTGACTTTGCAGTCAACTTCTGCAACCGAGTTGCAATGGAAGACCTAGAGAATCCAAGAGAGACGTTCTCGCAGGTTTAAAAAACCATTTTTTTAAATAATGTATTATCTGTATTGGCTTGGAATCTTTTGAAAGATCTTATGAAAGACAACACAGAAACATTTGAATGAAGGAAATACAGAAATGAAAAAGAAAACCAGACTCTTCAATTAATTCCAGGGACTGTTTAGTAAGCTCATTATAGCTGAATCTAGCCTTTTCTACCCCGTGGCCTCCCAGCATCTCCAGCCAGAAATGATACAAACGACAGTAGTAGATGTTGGAGAAGGATAGACTACAGCTTCAATGTTATGTATAGTGACATAAGGACAACCTCTACTAAATAGAGTAGGAGTAAACTGAGATGTATATGCATGCACACACAATTTTATAATTAATTATAAGGGTGCGAGTAGAATGTATTTTGAATCATATTTACATTTTAAAACTGAATTCAAAATAATCTCATCTACTGTTCACCAAGGGACAACTTCACTTTATTTGGACTCACATTTGAAGTTGATTATGTCATCTTTGTTTAACTATAAAACTGAAATACATTTACCTTCACACTCCCGTATGCAGTATAACAATTACTGAACTTCCCTCCGTGTAAAAACTGAAACCAGTCTTCTACTTCATGCAAGATTTTTTTTACAGGATAGTTTATGTGCTTGCTGTACATTACCTTTCCAAGGGAGGCACATTTTCCTGATGTTATGGCTTCCAATTCCTCTCCAGGAAGTTTAACAGACCCTTGTGGCTCCTGAGAAATAGCTTGCAAACTTTCACTTATTGGCAACTGCTCACAAAAAGAAGAGTTTTCATCCATTTTTTGCATGTCTTCGAATGCCTGGATCAGGGCTTCTATAAGTTGCTCTCTTTCAGAATTTTTGTATTTTCCTTCCTCCAATTGATGAACTAGCTGTGTATTCTCTTGCCTGAGGGAAGCCACTATATTAATCTGATCTTGTTCATTCGCCTTGAGAATTTCTTGCTTGCTGAAAGACAGTTTAATTTCCTCATGGGCCTGGTTCAATTGGGATTGCATTGACAAAAGTTCCCTTTCATATTCACCTCTGATTTTCACCATTTCCTGCTCTTCTTCTTTCAGCTGTTTCAAAAGGATGGCATGAGAACGTTCTAAATTGGACACTTTGACTTGTTTTTCCTCCAGCATGCTCTCTAAACAATCTTTTTCTGACTTTAAGTCACTTATTTCATGTTCTAATCTTTGCAAGGTCACACGCATATTTTCCATCTCAGCGTTCGCTATTTCTGTCTCTTCTTTAGCCGCCTCTGCTTGAAGAATCGCACCCTCCAAATTCTCTTCTGACATCTGCAATTCCCTTTCAAGGCTCTCAATTTTGTCTACCAGAGAGTCAGCTTTCCGCTGAGTTTCTTTCCACTTTTCAGCCAGGCGATGCTTGCTCTTTTCATCGGCTTCTATTTTTATCTTTAGTTTCTCGATGCCCCGTCGCAGCTGATCCACCTCTTCCTGGGCAGAATTCAGTCTCGCTGCAAGTTCACCCTTTTCTATAAGTGACCCTTCCAAAGACTTAGATATTTTGGCATTTTCCATTTCGGAGATGCTTAACTTGCTGTGTAGGGTTTCATATTCCTGGAGGCGTGCTTCTTTTTCTTCTCTCAAATGCTCTACTTGGCTTTGTGCTGCCTCTTTTTCCAACACCAGATCCCTCACAACCTTATCCAAATTCTGTAATTGCAATGTAAGGCCCTCCTTTTCCGTTGATAACTGACTACTTGCAGCCTTGGCAGCCTGAAGCAATTTTGCCTGGGTTTTAGCTTCAGCTTCCAATATCCTGATAAACTCAGTAGAATCCACTCGCCTTGACTCAAGCTCTTTTATCGTCTCCTGCATTTTTTGGCACTTTTGATCTAATTCCTCTTTATCCTTTGACAAAGCGCTCAGATCTTGGGTAAATTGGTTTCTCTCAGCTGTGATCACACAAAGCTGATCTTGAAGGCCAAAAATGGTTTTCAATTCATTTTCCTTTTCCCTTTCTAACTGCTCATTTTTTGACTGAAGCTCTTCAATATCGGCCTCCATGAATAGCACGTGGTTCTCAACATTCGCTTTCTCTGATTTTATCCTTCTCAGTTCATTCTCAGCTTCAAGAAGCTTCTCAGTCCAGTCGGCTTTGGTCATTTCTAAATCGTCGAGAGCATCTGTTGCATCGCAGAGTCTTACTTTGTACATCTCCAGATCAGCTTTTGCCTTGTTGAGTTCTATCCCAAGTGTCATAAGGTTGTAAGATAATTGCTGGTTATCAAAAGTAACAGATTTAAGTGCTTCGTTTAAGTCAATCTTTTCTTGTTTGAGTACTGCAACTGTTTTGTCCAGCTCTGCACAAGCATTTATCCTTTCAGCCAATTCTTCATCTTTTGCATCCAAATTTGAATTTAAATTTTGGATTTCCATGAGCATAGAATCAATGTTTTTACTAGTTTCCTCTAAATCACAGGAAAGCTTTGAATTCTTACTATGCTTTATTTCTGAATGAGGGATGTCCAAGAAATCCATAGGCACAGCACTTATTCTGTGACTTGGAGGAAGTGATAACACATTGGAACAATTTGTAGGAACTATAGATTTATTTGATGCATTTCCAGTTTCCAAATCTATGTCTGAAAGCAGTTTTTCTGAAGAATTTAAACTAACTTTTGCTTCAGAAGCCAATTCCTTGTTTCCTATTCCATTTGCTTCACAGGCCCTTGTTGTTTCTTTACTATTCACTGATTCAAGTTCTGAGATCTCATTACAGGAATTATATACTTCCAATTGGCACGAGGGATGATTTGCTTGCTCAGCAGGAATCCACGCTTGCTAAAAATGGGTAGAAAACAAATAATCTTGTAAGTTCAATGCTAATGAGCAAATGCTAGGTTTTTGCTGGATTGTGCACAATAGATATCCATAACTGAATGCTTTAATATTACTTAATATAACTTTTATAATTGGTAAGGAAATAGCTATTTTTATATATGAACGATACTAGAAATATATTTCTCTCCTTAAATCCAATAGATCAGCAATGTATACAATTGTAGGATTACATTCCCCTTCACCAATCTGCCTATTTATTGAGATCATCATTTAAGACTTTTTATTGTATGTGTCCTCCATCAAAAGCACAGAGACATAGCCCTTTCTTCTCCTCTCCTCCTTTAAAGCAGGGTGGGAAAACATTTTTCTGTAAGAATCACATTCTCTGGGGATAATCTACAAAAATGAGAGGTGGGTAGGTAATATATGCTCTCTCTTTCTTTCTGTCTGCCTGTCTAGTACCTCTTTCTTTCTTCCAACTTACTAGTATAATGAGATAATAATAATAATAATAATAATAATAATAATAATAATAATAATAATAATAACAACAATAATAATAATAATTTAATAAAAACATTATTTATATCTCGCCCCTCTCTCCTAGGGGATTCGGAGCAACTTACAACAAGGCTACAAAATAATAATAAGCACTTAATACTTTAGAAATTGAGACAGACCATTTTATCAGTGGTCTCAAGATTCCTTAAAGGCAGCTTCGTAAGTATTTAATATTTTTTTTATTTCTTCTGCTTTTCTCCTAATTGGGAACCCAAAGTAGCAAAGGTTATCAATTAGATCGAAAGTTATATGCAAGTCTAGGACCAAGGCTGTCAAACCCTGCTTTAGGGAGCTAGACAAAATAATAATTATTTTATTTCTTCCCCACCTCTCCTCATGGCTCAAGAAAGGTTACAATGTTGCTAAAATGCACAATCAAAGCACACAGTCATTTTAAAATACTCTGTAGAATACACATATTAATATTAAAACCTATTTCCACAAAATACACAAACAAAAATTAGACATAAAGTGGAAGTTTAAAATTTGTCATTTTAAAAAAAACATTAATTTTACATGAATGTTCAATTTGTTCTTTCATACATTTAATCTTAAATAGTTGAGATTTTTATCATCTTATCTCTATAAACGTATTCTTAGTTTTCATATTTATATAGCAATTGTTTAATTACTGTATTTTTATATTGTATTTTGATAGCTAACTTGGGAACATGGTGTTGTTGAAGGCAGATAATTTAAACTGAATAAATATTTACAGCTTGGATACATGGAACAAATATAACTATAAATGGGTTGTTGTAAGTTTTCCGGGCTATGTGGCCATGTTCCAGAGTGCTTCTAGAAGATGGCCACACAGCCCGAAAAACTTACAATAGCCCAGTGATTCCAGTCATGAAAGTCTTCCATAACCATAAATAACTATCAGACTCTACTCAATGATTCAGACTAATAAAACAGATAACAGAAGATGAATAGAATCTTTGACATAGTAATGAAATATTATTTTTATGTTATGTGTAGGACATACTGTGACTAGAAAACTATTCCATATTCTGTATATCCATGTGTCGTCAGTTGTTATCCTGAGACACTGTTCATGCCGACTGATGTTTTCACTGCATACATTACAGAATGTTCTTATATATTCTTACATATTGGAAGATTTACTACTGGAAGACTCTAGCTCTTAAACAACAATACAATTGTAAAAACTCAATGGAAATAATGAAAATATTGCATTTTACTGTCAAAAACTGTCTTTGATCAAACAGCATACATACTACATACTGTGTATTTGAGCATGTATGTAGCAGGACCTGAATTGATAGGTCTAAAAGGTTTACCTGAAGTGATATACTGTCCTAAAGGCACCAGATCCCATATGATCTTGGATGATAAACAGGACCAGCCCTGATTAGTACTTGGATGGGAGACCATCACTGAATACCAATATGTTATAGACTACATTTTAGAGGGACTAGCAAAACCACTTCAGCATCCTTAACTTAGGACTCCTATGAAATTAATAAGTTAACAAACAATTTGAACGGTCACACAAAAACAACTTTCAAATGCACATATGAGTTCATTCAAAATTTTATGTTCTAAAAACATTATTTTCAACTCTAATTATTATAATAAAATATACAAGATTCTAGTGCATAGTATACAAAATTTCAAAATAATTTCAAACTGGGCTAGCTGTGAAGGAAATACTTTTTAGTAAAGCCATCAGATCCCAACATGAAGGGCTTCATGGTGACTATATTATGTGTTTGTGTGATTGTGATTTCTATAAGAAACTTTTTTGTGCTTCCATAAAAAAAAACTTCATTTATCTTAAAAGAAACACACAGAGCTTATTTTTTTCCAAGTACAACTGCCACATCCTATTGGGGAGACTGGGAACTATAGTTCAAAAATAATTTCCCCAAGTTTTAAGCAAACCTAGAGAATAGGAGCTATTGTTTGAGTACAACTAAAGAGGGTTTTCTTCCCCAATAAGAGATCCAAATGTTAAGAAAATTGTCAAACTTACATGTTTGCTGTCAGTGCAAAGTAGTGGCTCACAACTGAAATCAGGGTCTTCCATTTTGGGCTGTGGTCCTTCTTCTTCTTGAGGCAACAGCTCAGGATATTCCTTTTCATTTGTCAATGTAGAAGCTACCTGCAGGATCACATTATGAAGTTTCTGTTGCCACAGTTTGTTGTCAGATACAGCTTGCTTTTGGAGACCATCTACCTCCTGTCTCACAGACAGAAGCAGCTCTTGGATCTTTTGAATCTCGTCTTCCACGTTTCTATGAGACTGAAATGATTCTTCAAGCATCTTGAAAGACTTCTCAAGAGGCTCACAGAGCAAGTGTTTTATTTTATTTTTTAGATTAGGGCTGTTGGTAAAGAGAGGCTCTTGCCCATCAAGAGAGGTCCATCTATCATTGTTGCAGAGCTCTGGCAGAGAATGGCAGTGCTGGTCAGCTGCCCCTTCTAGATCAGCTTGTTTTTTATTATGTAGCCCAGCTTTTTTGCTTGGTGTGGACAGAACACTATCAAAACTGGACTCCATAGGAGTAACATTTGTAGAACAGGAGATTGCATCATAGTATGGAAACTCCATGCAAAATTTTTCATCTGACTGACACTCTTCATTCACTGGGCTTGGGGTCATCTCAACTGCAAATGAAACCATATCAACTTGATAAAGACTTGTTGACAGTGCAATATTCTTTTCTGTCAGCATTTCAATATAGCTTTGTAGTTCTGATATTTTGGAAGCCAGATTCCAACTCTGCCCCTGAAAGGTTTGATACAAATTGTTCAAAGAGAGCATTTTTTCCTTGACGTGATCAAAATCTGCTTTAATTTCTTCGTTGGATAGTTTCAACCCTTCACAGTCAATTCCATCACAACATCTTGGAAAGATTATGTGCTCCATATCAGATTGTGCGGCTTTTTCATCTATTAATGCATCAGAGAAAGTGGCTCCCCCTTCAACCTTATTAATTTTGTCCATGAGGTTTTGTGCCATAGTATCTGAGTTCATGATGCATTCCAATTGTGGATCTTTCAGCTGTGACTTTTCTATCTGGACGCATTCACATATTTTCTCCAAATCATTTAGCTTGTTCATTGTCATGTGTAAGCAAGATACTAATCGGATATGATCGTTTTGCCCAGAGATCAAATTGTGAGGAACTGATGAACAGCTGGCATCTATCTCTTGGTTTAAGCTGACCTTGGTATCAGCATCAAAATGTATTGGTGACTTATTATTCCCATCTACCTCTGATGTTTCTGAAGTCTGATTTTCTAATTTTTTAAAAGCTTTCAGTTCTTGTCTCAAGCTTTCTTTTTCTGTTTCATTTTCTTCCAGTTTCATTTCCATAGTTCTTAAAACTGTCTCCAATTGGTTTACTTGCACAATGTAGTTTTCTACAGCAACTTCATTATCATCAAAATCCATTTGAAGCATCTCCAGTTTAACTTGACATCTATGCAATTCATCCTCCAAAGCCAAGTCACTTGTTGCATGCTCACTTCTTATTTTCACATTTTCAATCTGTTCCTCTTTCTCTTGCAGCAATATACTGTCGGAATAGTGTATTTTATTTAGTGCTGCCCCCTTCTGTCTTAAAATCTCATCTACTTCAGGCACTAGCTGATTTTTTTCAAGTTGCCAAAGCAAGGCATTATTTTTCTTGTCCAAAGACATAAGCTTTATCTCCAGTTCCTCACATTTGCTTGTAAGTTGTTTCTCTTGGTTTTCAGATTTGGCTTCCTTCACTTCAAGATGGTAAGTTTCTTCCCTTAAAACACATTCTAGGTTCTCAATCTTTGCTTCGAGCGATATACATTTTCTTTCCAAATTCTCTTTGGCTACTGACAGCAAAGAGGTCTTCTCCCTATTTTTTTCTGACAGCTCCAAGAGGTTTTCCTCCCTTTCACTCAAATTACTGGAGACTGGCAGTTTTCTTTGCATAACGTCCAGATTTTTTGGTTCTAAACTATTGATCGTACTTTCAAAGATGGCATTCTCCTCTGTAGGTTGTTCATTTTCCTTCTCATTTAAGGATAATGTCACAGTCAGATCAAGTTCTTTTTGGCTTATTGTTGGAGAGAGAACTTTCAGATGTTGTTTTGGATCCTCATACAATATCGCCTTCTTTTTAAAATCCTGAATGACTGCTTCTTGCCTATCTGATTCTTTTATCAACATTTGCAATTTCTCATCTCTTTCCTTAAGAGATGCCAATGCTTTAGTAAGCAAATCTTGTTTGTTAGATAGAGCTGTTTGTAGCTTATTAATTTCCTCTACAAAATCTGTATGTTTTTGCTCAGCTTCTACCAATTTTCTGTGCATTTCATCTCTGGCTTGTGACAGTTCCTCTGATTGTTTTTGGAAGTTTATGTCTAACTGTGCATATGAAGCGAGTGATGCTTCAAGAGACACAATACGCTTGTCCTTTTCTAACACCTCACTTCTGCATGTTTCTAGCTCTTCTTGTAGGGCATCTAAGTGCTTAACGAACCCAGCTAATTTCAGTGAACTGTTTTCTCTCTCTTTCATATGTTTTGCTTCAGATGTTGCATTTTTTTCCTGAAGATCAGCGTTGGTTTTTCGTTGTGCCTCTAGCTGTCTTGTTCGGTCTTCCACCACACATTTGAGATTTTTCACCTCCAGACTGAGGTTCTCCTTTTCATCTTCAAGAGCTCTTAGCCTCTCCTGACTTCTAAGCTGTTCAGTCTTTAGAGCACTCTCCAGGCTGGAAATTTTGCGCTGCAATCCTCCTTTTTCTAAATCAAGCTCATTCAAGAGTTGTTCATTTTCTTTTTTCTGTCGAGAAAGAATCTCAACCTCTTTTTTAAGCCCTTCACACTCTGAATAAACTTTTTGCAACATTTCTAGTTCTGACACCTTCATACTAAGCTCTTCAACTGCATTTTCTTTATGTTTCAAGAGCTGTTGGAGAGAATCTCGTTGATTTTCCAAGTCTGAAATTGCAAGTTTCATATTCTCTAAAGTGACAGAATTATATTGCTTATTCAGTTTCTCTTCCAGTAACTTTAACTCATTTTCCAAAGAGCAATTTTTATCTGTGAATAGAAAGGTTAGGGAGAATAGTTATAAAGTATTATATTAATAAAAATAGATTTACGTTTAAATAGCTTTGTTCCTCCAAAGAGCTCAATCAAGTTACCAAGTGAATTTCATGATTGTGAGGAGGTTTGAATCTGTGCTTTTTTGGTCACAGACCAGCACTTGACCATAATACCTCAAAAATATAGGACCTCCTCACTAAATCAGATGGTTCAGATCTTGCTCAGTCACCCTCCAGAGAAGAAGAGCCACCAAAGAGAAATGTTCAGGAGTAATAATTGTGGCAAACCCTCTTCACAGCATTCCTCATAAACCAGATCTTCCTGCACTTAATTTATATATCACCTCTTTGGCTTCCAAGATGACTAGGCTTACATTGGTACATCCCAATTATATATCAGAATTGCTGTGCCAATACACAGTCCTCCAAAAAAGCAGGGATGTTGACCATGATAAAATCCTATTGCAAGCTCAGTTGCTATTTTTCTTGAGTCATTTGTCCAGCTAATAATAATAATAATAATAATAATAATAATAATAATATAGTTTATTTATATCCCACTCTATCTCTCTGAGGGTAGATAACAGAACACATATATGGCAAACATTAAATGCTATTATACAATTAACAAGGACAGACGATACATAAACAGAGGTAAAGGCGTTTCCATCTTTTTCCATTTCTGGCATCTGGAGGCTGTGCTCAACTCCAGCCATCGGGGCTGGAGTGCTGTCGCTACATCTTCCATGCCAAGGAGCTTTGTTGTCCACAGACATCCTCTCGATTGAGTCTCTGAGGAAATGTCCTTATGGGTGCCTTTTCATACCTCCCCGTTTAAAGCGGTACCTATTTATCTACTCACATTGCTGTTTTCAATCTGCTAGATGAGCAGAAGCTGGGGTTGATGGCAGGAGCTTACCCCGACCCAGGTTTGAACTGCCAACCTTTTGATCGGCAGGATTTTCTCCAGCTTAGTGGTTTAACTCACTGTGCTAAGCCTGGCTCCTGGAACCAGAATTTGTGAGCCGTGATGAGAGGTAAGTGAAGAGCCAGTAACTGTCCTCAAGGATAAGAAATAAACTGTGCCAAACAGTCCAGGGTCAAGAAAATTAAATCACGAGTCAGAATTCCAAAGAGTAATACAGGCGCACTATACAGTCCAGGGTTTGTAATACTATGAGAAACATCTTCACAAACTGAGCAATTAAAAAGGAAGACCAAAGTTGTTCTCAGTGAGGTAGCTAATGTTTGTAAAGGTCATTTATAGGATGCAAATTTGAGAGAAAGAGGGCTTGGCTTGTTATCAGGTGACTATTAGACCTCTATAAATAATTCTGCTGCTGTTGCTTCCAATGAAGAGGTTTTGAGAGCGGGGGGCATGACACCAACCAGAAGGTGCAAAAGCCATTATGCTAACTTTCAAATCATTATGCTAGCAGATCTGTGATTCTTTCCTCTCTCGTTATTTTATTAAAACCATCACTGCCTGATGAGAGGACAGTGAGCTTTGAAAGCAAGCATGACTTTTGCCTTTTTTTGATCTATAAAGATTTCAATACAATGTGTACTTTTGAAAGGTACTCCCAAATATCCTATGACACACAATCCAAACTAGAGTTTGCTCAGCATGCGCTATACATTGTGAACTTTAGAATGGTTTGGAATGGCTATTAAACATGATTAAATTAATTAATTGAGGACTCACTTTTCATGACTTCAGAAACATGTTGACTCTCCTGCAGAAGCTGTTTGGCTATACAAAGCTCATCTTTTAGCTGGCGAATTTCTTGCAGTTGCTGAGCTGCCTGGCTGCTGATAAGGCTGTTTTGCTTCTTTACTTCCTATGACACAAACATTTGACAACAAACAGTGAGAGAAATGTTATGGAAGCCATTTCTATGTATTCTGATTCATAGGATCAGTTCATATGTTATAAATGTGTTCAAATTGACTGACATATGGCAGCCTCCTGTGAGGTTTTCTCAGTAAGAGTCATACAGAGCTGAAGTAATATGTGCAAAGTTACTGAGTGGGTTTCCAAAATCCTAACCTTCTTGAGTCTTAGTCTAGAACTCAAACCCGCTATATCATATGAACATTTCTTTATTCATATACAGTAGGCTCTCTATTTTGTGAGGGTTTGGAGTGCAGGACCCCTGCGAAAGTGTAAAAGACACAAACAGGAAAAAACACACACATTTTTTTCAAAGTCAGAGAAATTCTCCAACATGACTCCATTGGACATTGACAATATAATTGTGTTGGAGGACCTAGTGATTCCTAGAGAGAACATATTAGTCAGATTCACAAAAGTCGTATCACTGCGCCCTTATGCAAGATTTTCTTTGTTTACTTGGCATACACTTTGCCAGAATGGTCGTTGATCTCTGAAGAAAATCATTTGTTTCCCAATGCTTAGTTTCATTCTTGGTGTGTACCACCTTTGAAGCTGCTCGAGACACACAGGCAGTATATCCTAGTTCATCAGGTTATGTGTGTCAGACCTCTTTCCCTGACGTCAAACTCCAAGTACCTTATGAATTCACATTTATTGTTGTGAACTTTTTGCAGTTTCTCAAGGAGCAACTTGAGAAACTGCAAGTCACTTCTGGTGTGAGAGAATTGACCGTCTCCAAGGACGTTGCCCAGGGGATGCCTGGATGTTTTACCATCCTGTGGGAGGCTTCTCTCATGTCCCCACATGGGAAGCTGGAGCTGACAGATGGGAGCTCATCTGTGCTCTTCCCGGATTCGAACCTCCAACCTGGATGTTCAGTCCTGCTGGCACTAGCATTTATGTATGATGTTACATAATTCTACACTATTCTTCTAACCTATCTCAATCTTTCATATTGTTAAATGGTCAAATACATGTTTAGCGTTCAATAATCATTTTTTACTTCTATTCTTTGGCATTAGTCCATTTGGCTTTATTGCATCCTGCCCTTAAGATCTTTAGATGATGACAATTATCTAAACTGGACTATGACTGCAGAACAGGATTTGCCACAACGTGACATTGGGCAAGTCACATTCTCTCAGCCTTAGAAGAAGGCAACAGCAAACCCACTCTGAACAAATCTTACCAAGAAAACATGGATGTCTTTGTTTGGCCTTACATACCAAGAACAGAGCTTGAAAAAGCTTCTTTTTGGTCATGCTTGTTGGGACATGGTAGGAGATGTAGTTCAAAAATGTAACCTTCCCAACACTCTGACCAAGAGAATGGCAGTAGGACAGTGGTTTCTGAACAGCTACTAGTCGACATATACTAATTTAGCAAATCTCTGGCCTGTTATAAATTATGCTATGACAAGGCTTTTGCAAGGCAAAAATGCTAGAAAACCACAACCACGTACAATTCGTTTTGAGCTTAGTGAGAAAGAAAAACCAAAACCATAGCCAAGGGTCCCCCAGTAAAAAAAAAAATCATTGAGACAGGGTTAGAATTTAGGGAGATTTGGGGGCCAGGTCTTTCACACAAATAGCTGGTATCTTGGGGATAAGTAAGCCAAAGATTGGCATCCTCTTTCACAGCACATACTGGAAGCATGAGTGTCTGGCATCTAATTTTATTTTATTTAAACCAGCAGGGGCTTTGAAAGAGTTCAGGGCTCCCTTCATTGAACTTCAAAGCTTCTTTTTGTTGAAATCTGGCCTTCTCGCCACTATTCTATGACAGCAACGAAAAATGAAAGAGTTGTTCCTAAAGAAAATGGCACGCAGAGGCCCACACCGCCCACTCTTGAACCGCTAAGATAACAGATGGCATTGGCAGGGCTTCGTTGGTCTCGAGCCCTCAATTATCCATCTAGTTACTCCTAGCAGATGGGCACCGGTGCACCAAAGCCAAATTTAAGAGAAGGGACAACCAGGATGGGAAGCATAAGCTGGAAATTTGCTGGCAAAGCTGGTTTGCTATTCAAGCAGATCAGCCCAAAAGGAAGATTAAACTTGTTGTTGCTTCGGTTCATTGTCATCCTATCCTCCTCCACTCCTACAATGCCATCCTTTAAGCTTCCATGAAAGAGGGAGGAAAAAGAGGTAGGCTACTGTGCCAATATTCCTTGCAAGTGCCCAAATTGAAACGCTCAAGGTTCTCTGGCAATTTCTGATGTTCACCCATATAATGAGTATCCTACAGTTTAAAGACTTCTTAACACAGTTTTCAGCTCAAGCATAAGGGTCATTAGCCAAGCATTTTAGAAACTCTCCTATGATATGATCAAGGTCAAGTGGTTTCAAGAGGATGGAGTGTGCAGTGGGGTTCGCAGCCTCTATGATTATAATTACAGACCTCTTGGATAAAAATTGGATCAATAAGCTCCTGAAACACTTCTGCATCGAAGCCAAGGGGCAGTCCTTCACTGCTCGGCTTGTTTACTGGGAAGCAATGAGGTAATTCTCATCTAGGCTACTCTTTCAGAATACTTGTTTTACCCAGAGCTTAGGAAAGTTACTACAAGTCCCATAATGCTCCAGCCAAGTTTTGGAACAGATATCGTTTAGAAGTGCTTTTCATAGTTCAGGAATAATGATGATGCTAATGGCCTGATGAATATCTACTCAAAACTAAGTTGATTTTAGTATTGCTGTAATTTAGATATTTATAAATATTGTGGAGCTTCTACAGCAGGGGTCCTCAAACTAAGGCCGGGGGACTGGATATGGACCTCCAAGCTCATTTACCCGGTCCTCGCTCAGGGTCAACCTAAGTCTGAAATGATTTGAAAGCACACCACAACAACAACAACAATCCTATCTCATCAGCCAAAAGCAGGCCCAGACTTCCCATTGAAATACTAATAAGTTTATATTTGTAAAAATTGTTATTCATTTTAATTATTGTATTGTTTTAAGTGTTTTTTGCATTACAAATAAGATATGTGCAGTGTGCATAGGAATTCATTCATGTTTTTTTTTTCAAATTATAATCCGGCCCTCCAACAGCTTGAGGGATTGTGACCTGGCCCTCTATTTAAAAAGTTTGTGGGCCCCTGTTCTACAGTGTGTGGGCTTTCCTAAACTCTGATTTCATCTAGAGAGGACATAAATAAACAAATCATTCTTTTGAGACAACAGATGCAAGTACAAGTTGAGTATCGCTTATTCAGAATTCCAAAATATGATATACTCCAAAATCCAAAATTGTTCACATGGATGGATGAGATTGTGACACCTCTGCTTTGTGCACACAGTTCAATGTACACAAGCTTAGTTTCATGCACCAAAATATTGTGAATAAAATTACCTTCATACTAGGAGTATAAGGTGTACATGAAACATAATTGAATTTCCTGTTTAAACTTGGATCCCGCCTCTAAGATACAGAAAATATATGCAAATTATGAATATATATACAAATACAGATATTCTAAAATGCAAAAAATAAAATAAAATAAAATTGAGGTCCAAAACATTTATGGTCCAAGCATTCCAGATAAAGGATACTCAATCTGCAATTCTAAAGCAGATTTTCCTAACCTGGCACACTACTTTTGGTACCCGGACTACAGCTCACAACATTATCCAGCAATAGCTATGCTGGCTAGGAAACTATAGTCCAACATATTTGCTGAGAAGTAGTTTAGGAAAAGCTGCTTAAGATTATACCATCTGCTGCTGTGTGCCATTCAAGACAGGACCTACAAATCTAATGAACAACAATAGCATCCTTTTCTTCTCCAGCAGTGCACTTTGCTTAAGTAGCCAAGAACTGGCCAAACACCTTCGTATCTGGAATTTGGAACACTGCATCGCCTACAACAGACTGTATGTGCTCCCAATTTTGTTTTTAGCATCTTATAGTGAAAAATGTTGACTGCTATTTCTGAAGGCCGCTAATACTGGTGGTTTTACTCTAAACATTCCATTACATCTTTCAACACCCTCTCTCTCAAAACAAGGAAGAACCCAACAGTCAAATCAGGAATCAAATTCTAGCTGTGATATTTGGGTAATGCCAGTATAAAATAGAGGGGAAATAGTGATCTTTTATCTCACTTTTGTTGTAAAATGGAACTGCTCATTCTTTCTACACTTGGAAAAATAGACCTAGCTGCTATCAATTCACATAACCATTGTTCCTGACAGCTTTTCAGACAGCTTCCTACATGTTGTTCAAAAGGCATTTATATGTTGTTTAACAAACTCCTATTACATATAGCAGAAGTTTGTTTTTGCCCTCTCTGGCTTTATAATAGGGGTGGATACGTTTGCTGAGTCTAGGGTCCAATTCTGCCCTACCACAATCTGCTGCAGGAAAAAAATCCTTCTTTAAATCCTGTGTGGGACTTTTGGAAGCTACAAAATCTGGTTGACAGTCACGTGTTGCCTCATTTTGCTCCATCTATGTTTTAACTAATAGACCTGTACAGAATCATAGAGTTGGAAGAGACAACAAGGGCCATTCAGTTCAATCCCATTCTGCCGTGCAAGAAAATACAGTCAAAAACAATATAGAGAAGAGAACTCCACCACGCTCTAATACAGCACATTCCAATATTGAATGTAGATCTTGGTTGGAAGCCACTTTGACTGTTTTTGACTAGTGATGCTAGCATTGAAGAATTGTTTAAAAGCAATGTTTTTCGAAGTCCCTGAAGAAGTGGAGTGGGCAGATCAAAAGACAACCTGGCAAAATGGCACTACCTAAAAGAATCCTCCACCTTGTGCGACTGTGGAGCAGATGAAACCACTCCACATCTGTGTGCTTGTCCACCATGTCCTGCCTCATGTATAGAGAAATAATTGTTTAAAGCTACACACAATGCAGTCACTGTTGCCTGTTTTTGGTCAAAAAAATATTTAGCCACTTGTGCTTCTTTTATTTTTATCACTTTTATACTTATTTATGCAATGCTTTTGATTCAAAATAAATAAAAAACTTGAAGAACTGTTTGACCATAAAGTATCTTAATCCCTAAATACACCTATATTACATCAGAGTTCAGACAGTTAGTGAAGATGTCACACTAGTAACTGTTGTGCAACTACATATATAATTTATTCCTATAATTTTACTTACATCACACATATTCTTTAGCTCATTTTCCTTCAACTGCATTGTCTGCCTTGTCCGCTCTGCTTGATTCAATTTTTGAGTCAATTCATTAGTCTTGTTTTCAAATTCCTCTTTCGCTGAGAGGATCTATCAAGGAAAATATAGTTTAATTTTAATACGTGGCCTGCACAACATAAAAAGATAGAAAAATAGTACTTCTGTAGTCATAGGACTGGCCAACGTTACTTTTTAAAATAGAAAGGGGGGGAAAAAAACCAAACATCTAAAAACACAAACATCTACTAGCATTAAGGTTATTTACTACCCAAACTAGTGCTAAGAACAGCCATATATAAAATATACTACTAAAGAAAGCTCTAGATCTAAACTGCAACCCTCTTGAGTTCCACTGTTGGAAAAATGATGGAAAATAAATAACGTGAATGATTGTGTACAATGTAGGTATTCCGTTCCTCAGTTCAAAGGTCCAGAAATCAAGATTGAGAAAATAGACACATGTTAAGGAATTAAAATGTAAGTACAGACAGTCCCCAAGTTACAAACAAGATACTGTATATACTTGAGTATAAGCCTAGTTTTTCAGCCTTTGTTTAGGCTGAAAAAGCCCCCCTCAGCTTATACTCGGGTAAGGGTCCTGCGGGAAGGTGTGGGGCTGAAAGAAGGGCTTCTTTCAGTTCCATGTCTTCTTGCCAGGACTCTCACCTCTTTGCACAGCAACCCAGCTCTCCTTTCCTTCCTCCTCTCTCATGCAGCACACACCTCTCTCCTCCTCTCCCGGTGCCAGTCTTTCCCACTTTTCCTTATCCATATACACACAGCATTTCCGCTAAAATATACAGTTAAAATAAACTATGGTGATTATTGGAAGGATATGTAAGAACATTTACATTACTGATGCCTCAATTAATGTAATTTTATTGGTATCTATTGTTATTTATTTCCAGCCTGGGGCTTATACTCGAGCCAATAAGTTTTCCCAGTATTTTGTGGTAAAATTAGGTTCCTCAGCTTATATTCAGGTCGGCTTATACTCAAGTATATACAGTAGGTTCAGTAGTTTGTTCTTAAGTTGAAGAACAGGTCCAGCAAAAGGTGCACTTTTTGTTATTTGTCCAAAAAAGTGCAAACTACAATTCCTGTGTGATTAGAATCCCCTTTTTTAAAAAAACCCAAAGCTTCCAAGCAATGGAAAGGGAAACCACAGAAATAAATAACCCTTCCCTCAAGGAGACTCTGTTGTTTATCCTGCTCCAGCTCCTTTGGTTGTGCTATCCTGTGGAATGAATGCAGTTTGAAACCACTTTAACTGCACTGGTTCATACCTATGGGATTTTGGAAGCTGTAGTTTTACAAGGTCTTTAGCCTTCTCTGCCAAAGAATGCTGCTGCGTCACCAAACTACAAATCCCAACATTGCATAGGATTTAGACAGGACAATTAAAGTGTCAGACATGAAGGAAAGGAGAGATCAACAGAAAAAGAAGAAAGATTGATTGGAGGAAAGGGGGTTTGGAGATATCAATAGGAAGAAAAGGGAAAAGGGGCCTTGAGAAATCCATAGGAAGAAAATAAAAAAGGGTTTGGAGAGATATCAATAGGAAGGAAAAGGAAAAGGGGTGGAGAGATACAAACATGCTTTGGCTCAGTGCTAAGATTTCATGATAAGGAGGGTGGGGAGAGGCCTGTTCATAACTGTAAGTTGTTCATAATTCAGATATTTATAACTCAGGGACTGTCTTTGGATACTCTTCTCCTAAATTTATAATTTCATATTTACTTTGAAATTCATGAGATATTACATGTACTGCGTTTACTGACTAACATTTTTCCCAGTCATTCAACAAGGCATCGAAATAAGCTTTCAGTGATCTATATTGAGAAAAATCTTGCAAAAGCAACTACAATATGATAGAAAATAAAAAGTAAGCCCATTGCAGATATATCTTTTAACCACTGGTGGCTCCATATCATGAGGACATGAATCCTCTCCAGGCTTTTGTCTCAAATGAAATCAGCTATCCAAAGTGCTGAAAAAAATTGAGGATGTTAACTGGGTGGCTTGAACTACTCTGACCAATCTCACTCTTGGTTTCTTAAAATTTTATACATCTCTTTACACATCGCATTATAATAGTATACTCTATGCAACTGTTTGCCCAATTATTAACATGTGTTTTATTGTGAAATTTATTTATATCCATGGGTATGTGGCACCATCCTTGATATTGAAATTAACCATGGAGTTTGTGCATGTTTTATCAATCTCTGCAGCCAGCTGCACAATGTAGCACACTGGAAAACATTCAGTTGCATTATGTTGCATCATGCTCTGAATTTCAGCCTTACTGGTTTCTATATATGTTTGAATGTTCCATATGAGATACTTACTTTCTCCAGTTTGGCTTTAAGAACATTGTAGCTATCCTTGGCTTGATGCAATTCCCCTTGTAGACTGGCTCTGACCTGACCAAGCTGGAGATCAAATTCCTAGAATAGTGACGGAGAAAATAAAATACTCATAAACAAGAAATATGATAAATTCCCAAAAAATCCTAGCCTGATTCCAGGATTGATGTTGTGTGTTTTTAACTATGAAACTTTTTAGTTACTATGCTTGATGTTGCTAATAGGTGTGTATATATGTGTGTGTGTGTATGTATATGTGTATATGAATGAATGGTTTATTGTACTAGCCATAAGCCATGATATAAAATATACAACCTTTAAAAGTACAATAAGCAGTTTCAAATATAAATATTAAGACTTATTCCATATACAGGCTTTTTAAAATTATAGTAGCAGTGACACTATAACCATAACAAATGTTTGATTTGTATCACCCCAAACTATCTCTATTTCAATTTCTAGCTTCTGCTATGGACTTTACTAATTTCGCTTGGATTTCTTTGGCTGGGACTGCAAATGTTTAATGTTGTGTTTTTTTAATAATCTGCTAACAAGTCACTGCTGACTGTTGCCATGCTGCCCTTTCTTTCAAAAGGCTCCCAGAAGATTGTTTCGAGGGTCATTATACAAAGGGCAATGTAACAGATAATGTATGAAATCTTCTCTTTCTCCGGATCCACAAATACAAAATCATTGGGCATGAGGGATACCTCTATATCTTCCCTCTAACTAGCCTGATGACATTGTTTGGAAGTGCACGGCTGTAAATGCCTTTCTAAGGACTACAGACATTAAGTCTTGAAGTATATGTGTGTGTGTGTGTGTGTGTGTGTGTGTGTGTATCTTACAATATACTGAACAATGCCTGTGACTCAAGAACTGTAAAACCAATTCTATAAACTCTGTGGAGCTCTCACAATTGACATCTCAATTAGCTTTCCTTCCATGGCAAACAGCCAATTGCTTTAGAAATAGTGGAGTTTCAAAAGCAGCTTGTGAGATGGCATGGAGGTAAGCTGTTCAAAGAAACAAACAAAATAGCAAAAATTATACTGGGTTAATATGCCATGTATGAGCTTAAATAGGTCTTTTTATACAAACCTATGTAGGCATTTGGAACTGAAAATTAGGACAAGAGAGAAATTGGGCACCGACCACTGCAACCTGTGGGGCGGCCTAACCGCCATGGTCCTAGCAAGAAGAGGAACTAGTCTGCATACTACTTCTGGCTTTTCACCCTCTTTCTACATCTGTGAAGAAATGGAATCACGGTGCCCACAACATCACTTATCCTGTGGGTCAGGTTCCTCCTCTTCTTCTTTGTGCTGTGTTCACGTTCTGCCCAAAAGAACATGAACTTTTCCTTGAGTGGAACAAATATTCTTGGCACACAGGAAGAGAAGCTGGATCTGCAGGGTAAATGAAGTGGTTTGCAGGGCTAGCTGTTCCTCTTCCTGGCTTCCATGTCTGTTCTGTCTGGATAAAGGAAGGGACGGTGCCAGGCAAAGCAGGATCATGAAGCATGTGTACTTTCTGAATACCCCCCATGCCGTCCTAAACTCACCTCTTGAGAACAGAGCAACTGTACTCACACAGCACCCAGAACATTGGGAGGTGGGGCAAAGCTTGCAAACAATCAAAATTGTGGTGTGAATCCTGTGGAACTGGAAACAGAGTGCAACTGTAACTAATGCTAACCTGTGGCCTTAAAATGACTGAGGACTGGGGCTTTAAAGTTTCCCATTGTAGCCAATTGGCCGAATCTTTGCCAAATGAATATGTCAACGTATTGTCAAAGGCTTTCATGGCTGGAATCACTGGGTTGTTGTAGGTTTATCGAGCTGTATGGCCATGTTCTAGAAGCATTCCCTCCTGATGTTTTACCTGCATCTATGGAAGGCATCCTCAGAGGTTGTGAGGTCTGTTGGAAACTAGGAAATTTAGGTTTATGTACCTGTGGAATGTCCAGGGTGGGAGAAAGAACTCTTGTCTGTTGGAGCTAGGTGTGAATGTTTCAACTGGCCACATTAATTAGCATTTGATGGCCTGGCAGTTTTCTGTGTACTCAAATAATATGCTGTGTCCAGGTTGGTTCATCAGGTACTCTGCTATGGCTGACTTCTCTGGTTGAAGTAGTCTTTGAGAACACAGAAATGCTGGACCACTCTAACAACCACCATGCCAGACTTCATAGAGAAGCCATTGAAATCCATAAGCATGTGGACAATTTCAACAGAAAGGAGGAAACCATGAAACTGAACAAAATCTGGCTACTAATATTAAATAAGTCTAAAATTATAACAGTAAAACAACACTCAAACACAGGGGAACTCCAGAGAGGAAACAATCAGGGACTCAATAAAAGTTTTCCCCAGGCAGTAATAAGCCACACCTAGAAACTGCCAGGCTATCAAATGCTAATCAAGGTGGCCAGTTGAAACATTCACACCTAGCTCTGACAGACAAGAGTTCTTTCTCCCAACCTGGACATTCCACAGATATATAAACCCAAATTTCCTAGTTTCCAGCAGACCTCACAACCTCTGAGGGTGCCTGCCATAGATGCAGGCAAAACGTCAGGAGAGAATGCTTCTAGAACAGGCCATACAGCCTGAAAAACCTACAACAACCCAGAAAATGTCAACATTCCTCCCATAAACAGAATGAGGGGTTAGCCAAAAAATGGACCCCGAAACGAAATGCTTTTTGGCCGAATTGTAGAAATACAACATTAGTAATCCGCTCAATATGTATAGCAGTACTACCAAATTCCACTCTTAACCTTTGTGAAGTTCCCCTGTCTTCCCTGTTTAGTGTTAGTTACAGTGACAGTGCCTTTACCTTTTGGCATTCTTTTTCCTTCTCTTTTATTTTCTCTTGTAAAGCATGTTGCGCACTTTCGAAATTTTGTCTCTGACAGTGAAGCTCCTCTGAAAGCCTTTTCACCTTTTCCTCTTTTACAGCACACTAAAAAAAAGATAAAGAAATGAAATGAAATATTTCTAAGGTTGAAAAGATTTGGCATTTGATTTTGATATGGGCTTAGAATTTATTTATTATTTTTCCATTTTCATTTCTATTGGGACTTTCCACTAAAAAAGGGTGGCTACCACAGGTCTCAGGGTAGCCAAAAGCTTCATTAAGCTCAAATTAATGACAAATTATAAACAAAAAGGCCAAGGTTGTTGGGGAACAAAAACAGGGGATGTTAAGCCAAAATGAGTAGATAACCATATGAATGGTTGAGGGAGTTACAGGAAAGTAGTGTGATGCCCAAAAGAAGATGTGAAAACTGGCCTCTGGAATCACACTACTGTCCAATAATTCCCTCTGCCATTTGTATGGTTATCTACTCATCTTGCCTTTAGGCAACATCTTCCTTCTTAGGTTCTTGTGGGTTTTTTCGGGCTATAGAGCCATGTTCTAGAGGCATTTCTCCTGACGTTTCGCCTGCAATGCCTCTAGAACATGGCTCTATAGCCCGAAAAAACCCACAAGAACCTAGTGATTCCAGCCATGAAAGCCTTCGACAATACATCTTCCTTCTTGTCTTTATCTCCTGTCATTCAAACTGAACTTGTAAGCTTATCATCATACCCATAAGTTTTGCATTTTAATGAATATTCACACATGGTCTAGCTAAAAAGGTCTGCTCCTAGGCACTTCATTCAATACTTTCAAGGAAGCAGACTCTTATCTATGAACGTTTGTTTCAAACTTCGTTCTCTAGATTTCTAAGGTGCTACAAGATTTCTTTGCATATTGATATTCCAAAGTAACATGGCTATCTCTTTGAATTTTAACCCTTTGCGGGCAAAGACACTAAAAGAGAGGAGGTCAATAGCTGATAGCATAAAAGGTGAATGAATACCTATGAATGGAGACAGAGGGCAAGAACAAGAAAATGCAATATGAACCAAAATGGACACCTCGGTGATACAAGAACTGAAATATCTTGGCAGAAATTTAAATTTGTGTTATTTAAAATGATCTAGGTCAATAATGCAGTCTTCTTCAGCTTTATATCTTCCAACCAGGCAACTGGGATAATGGAAGTTGCACGCCAATACAACATAAAGGACACCATGCTGGGGAATCATAGAGTTGGAAGAGACCTCATGGGCCATCCAGTCCAACTCCCTGCCAAGAAGCAGGAAAATCACATTCAAAGCACCCCTGACAGATGGCCATCCAGCCTCTGTTTAAAAGCCTCCAAAGAAGGAGCCTCCACCACACCCTGGGGCAGAAAGTTCCACTGCTGAACAGCTCTGTTAGGAAGTCATTTCTAATGCTCAGATGGAACTCCTTTCCTGCAGTTTGAAGCCATTGTTCTGCATCCTAGTCTCTAGAGCAGCAAAAAAAAAAAAAAAAAAAAGCTTATTCCCTCTTCCCTATGACTTCCCCTCACATATTTATACATGGCTATAACGTCTCCTCTCAGCCTTCTCTTCTGCAGGCTAAACATGCCCAGCTCTTTAAACCGCTCCTCATAGGGCTTGTTCTAGAGACCCTTGATCATTTTATTTGCCCACCTCAGGACACATTCCAGCTTGTCAACATCTCCCTTCAATTGCAGTTCACAGAATTGGAGACAATATTCCAAGTGTGGTCTGACCAAGGCAGAATAGGGGGGATACCATGACTTCCCTGGACACTAGTCTCCTATTTATGCAGGCCAAAATTCCATTGGCTTTTTAAGCTGCCACATGACATTGTTGGTTCATTAACCCTTTTCCAAGGTCTGTTTTCCCCTGAAGAAACTGAAGCAAGAGGGAAAATGTACCTGCTTCCTCTCTAGAGGCAACAGAAAAAGCTGCCAGCATCTTTTGCAACACTGCAAGGGAATCTGGGACACATCCCTAGGACCACAGATGGTTTTGTTTTTATTTCTAAAACTATTTACTAAACTATCAGCCAGCAGGGAAGAATTTGCTGCTGGGTATACATAGGCAGAACTGGCAGCATCAAGGCGGGTGAAAGAATCAGCTTGACAGTCTCCATGTATGAAAAAAAATGATAATGGTAGGAGGAAAGAAAGAGAACCAGCTTTTCATTATACTCAATGGGAACAAACTGAGAAGCAAACAGATATAAAGAAAAATAGCTGAAGAAAAGACATGGGGAGAAAAACACGCTTAAGTCTGAACCAGCCTTAGACCACCATAATATTTAAACAAGTTGCTTACAATGGATACACAACCTTCCAATGTCACATTATGCTTATGTACAAGATTCTCTATTCTCTCTTCCACCTGGTTTTCCATTTTCCCCAACTTTAAATTAGTCAGTATTCTCTGGACATTGTGTATGCTGAGTTTCAGAAAGCTCTCTTGGGGATCTCCTGTTCCTAAGTTTTTCCTCCAAAAGATTCTTTGTACTCCAAGCGCTCTGTGCCTAGAGCTACCACCCTCCTATACTGCACAAGTGGCCACTCAGAGGTCAATAGTAATATAATACATAGGATTTCATGAATCTGCCCACCCAACCACCATTGCATGTTGATCATACTTGGTTCGTACTTGAATAAATGACCATCAGGGAATCATACAGTTGGAAGAGAGCACACGAACCATCCTGATATAATAGGTTATTTAAATTTTATTCTAATTTGCTAAGTTATAATTTGTTTATATTCTGGAGTTTAATTTTTGTTATTATGTATCTATTAGTTGTTATGTTCAGGCGTTGAATGTTTGCCTTTTTTGTGATTGGAATCTGCCCAGAGTCCTTTCAAAGAGATGGGGCGGAATATCAATAAAGTTTTATTATTATTATTGATTTATTATCGAGCCCAACTCCTGCCATGCAGGAAAACACAATCAAAGCATCCCCGACAGATGGCCATCCAGCCTGTTTAAAAGCCTCCAAAGAAGGAACCTCCACCACACTCCAAAGCAGTAAGTTCCACTGTTGAACAATTCTAACAGTCAGGAGGTTCTTCCTAACATTCAGGTGGAATCTCCTTTTCTTTAATTAGAACCCATTGCTCCGAGTCTCTAGGGCAGCAGAAAACAAGTCTGCTCCCTCTTCCTTATGGCAAACACTGTGCATTGTTGTGGAAAAAAGCTATAGTTCAGTGTTGGGCCAGATGCTTTGCATACACAAGGTTCCAAGGTGTTAAATCCTTAGCATCTCCAGGTAGGGCCTGGAAAACAATGCTGCCTGTAACCTAGAGAACTGCTATAAGTCAAAATTCACAATATTGGACTATTTGAAGCTATTGATTGATTTATTTTATATGCCTGCTTTCTCTCAAAGTGAGATCAAAGGCAGCAATGATCCCACTCAGCAATATGCCAGCTCTCTCTATTCCTGACTCCACAAATAAACTATATAGAAGATATGGGCCATGCTTCTTAACAGGAAAGGTTCTGCGGATTTAATCACAGATTCATTAGATGACAGTCTCATTTGATGATAAGTCAATAGTGTGAAAATACTGTCTGAATAGATATCAAATTATATGAACATTTTTTTCTGTAAATCCAACTGACATGTGCTGTATAATGCGCCAATTATTGTTGGACATGACTGCATGGAACAGATGTTCGAATTGTAAGGTTATTCACGTGGGATCTGAGAAAGCACCACACCTGATCAGTTGCTTGATCAAATTGCGCTACAATTCTGCTAATCTCATTTCTGGTTTTGTTCAGAGCTTTATCTTTTTCTGTTAATTCCATTTTTAGATTTTCCAGTTGCAGCTGAGCTTCTTGAAGTTTGGTAAGACTCAGTTTCATATCTTGCATTTGACTTTGCAGTTTGTGCTCCAGTTCTTGAATTCTGGATCTTAACTCTGTATGTGAAAAACATAAAAATATAGCATTACTTCATTTATTTTAGACTCATCAAAAGTAAGTTCATATTTAGTCTTTTTATGCCCCCAGGCCACATTTTTCCTTTTTCTCCTCTGTCTATTAGGAGTGGGTTATTTTTAAAGAAGCATTAGCATTGGGAGCATGGAGAAGGAACAACGAAGTAGGCAAAGCTTGAGCCAGAAAAGAACAGAATTTCACACTAAGCCAGTAGGCAATATTGCTCCTTTTGGGGTTGCAGGGAGAGGGGCTTGTATGATCCGGAGTGGAGAGCATTAGTAGTCTAGAGTGCAATTGGGAAGTGAGGAATAAAAATACGGGGGAGGTGGAAACATAAAGGAAATAGGACAGGAAAATTTTGTAAAACTGTAAATACATGTTTCATCTGGAGTTAAATTTATAGTGATTACTTTATTTTCCAGATGAACACCCACAATGTAAGTTTCAACTGATCAGTAGTCAAGTCCGCCAACATGGCTTAAGGAACAAGTGTTAGAAGATGAGCATATCATGCATTGCTAGGAAGCCCAACCTGCATCAAAGGAATATGTGCATGCAATGACTTTTTTACAATAGTATTAAAAATATTTATTTATTTATTTATTTATTTATTTATTTATTGTTTTCCCCTGACATGAAGTCTAGACGTATCCAACTCTGGGGGGTGATGCTCATGTCAATTTCTAAGCCAAAGAGCTGGCATTGTCCATAGACACCCCCGCGGTCATGTGGCCAGCATGACTGCATGCAGTGCCATTACCTTCCTACTGGAGCAGTACTTATTGACCTACTCACATTTGTATGTTTTCAAACTGCTAGGTAGGCAGAAGCTGGGGCTAACATTGGGAGCCAACCTTTCAGTCAGCAAGTTCAGCACCTCAGCGGGTTAACCCGCTGCACCACCAGGGGCTTCTACATATGAAACTACAAATAGACCACATATATGTAATATAATTTAGATTGTTTCGGAATGGTGTGACAAGAATTTAACAATACTGCAAGTCCAATAAGTACTTAAAACTGTAATTCATGCTGTTGACAAAAACAGAACCAGATATTAACAAATAGAAGCACAACAGGTATTTGCAAGCTACCTTGGTTCTGAGCTTTCATCTTAAGTAATGGAGAGTTCTTTGAACTGAAGATGCCGGAATTGCTCGTTTCTTTCTTTGCTGATTTCAGATATCTGTGACTTGGAGTTGCCCCAAATTCCTGAGAGCGATGTGATGTCACTGACCCACTGCTTACAGGAGTTTCCTGGGGACTGGATGAGAAGCGGCTTGGCGTTTTCTCTTGTTGCCATGAGAATACAGATGAGGAAGCCTGCTGCCGAGCAATTTGTCTACGACTTATCATACTTTCAGGACACGTGGTATTTGTTTTCTTTTTGGAACAAAAGAAGAGAGAAAATAAAGATTTTCTTAATTGGATTGAACCCATTTTGGGAAATGCTTCAGAGAATAAGAATTTGCTAGTTTAGATCAAACAAACAACAAAGCTCACTATCCATTCATCTATCAACAAGTCAAAACTCATATGTGGTTTCATACATTTTTTTTTCAATTTAATGCTAGCCTAGAGCTGCTTCCTGTTATTTTATTTATTTATTTACCATATTTATATCCCGCCCTTCTTAGAGCAGCTTACATAAAGGTAGAAATTTGATGCCACACGAACAAACATCCAACAAAATAAACATATACAGTGAAACCAACTGCTTAAAACATGTCAAACATTAAAAACTACTTATTTAAAATCACGTATTCCAATATCACAGTTTGAGGCCGTTCCAGCTGTCATTGCACTATTCCGTTCACTTATTGTACTGATAAATCACTGATCGAAAGCTTGGTCCCACATGCCTATTTTTAGTTTTTTTCTAAATGTCAGGACGGAGGGGGCTGATCTTATTTCACTAGGGAATTCCACAGCTGAGGGGCCATCACTGAGAAGGCCCTGCCTCTCGTCCCCACCAACCTCACCTATGAAGGAGGTGGGACCAAGAGCAGGGCCTACCAGAAAATCTTAATTTATTTATTTATTTATTTATTTATTTATTTATTTATTTATTTATTACTTGCACTTATTAACCGCCACTCTCAGCCCTAGGGCGACTCGTGGCGGTGTACAAAAACATAGAAAAGACAATTTACAATAGGTCAAGACAGCACAACAACATTCTACTACTACATAACATCTACTTATACTAAAAATCCGCTTCGTCTTATCATGTGGTCATAATCAATCTCATAGTCATGTCCATTCCGGTCAACATTTCCAATAACATAGCACTCAATTGAAGGCCATCTCGAAGAGCCATGTTTTTAGGCCTTTACGGAAGGCCATGAGGGAGGGCGCCTGTCTAACTTCAGCAGGGAGGGAGTTCCATAGCCGGGGGGCCACCACCGAGAAGGCTCGCTCTCTCGTCCCCGCCAGGCGTGCCTGTGAGGCAGGCGGGACCGAGAGAAGGGCCTCCCCAGATGATCTTAAGGTCCTCGTGGGCTCGTAGGCCGAGATGCGGTTTTCAAGGTATTTTGGGCCGGAACCGTTTAGGGCTTTGTAGGATAACACCAGCACCTTAAATTGGGCCCGGTAGCAAATCGGCAGCCAGTGGAGCTGGGACAGCAAGGGCGTTGTATGCTCCCTGCCCGCTCCTGTTAGTAACATGGCTGCCGCGCGCTGGACTAGCTGAAGCTTCCGGGCCGTCTTCAAGGGCAGCCCCACGTAGAGAGCGTTGCAGTAGTCGAGGCGGGATGTGACCAGAGCGTGTACCACCGTGGCCAAGTCAGACTTCCCAAGGTACGGGCGCAGCTGGCGCACGAGCCTAAGCTGTGCAAATGCTCCCCTGGTCACCGCTGAAACCTGGGGATCCAGGCTCAATGATGAATCCAGGGTCACACCCAAGCTGCGAACCTGCGCCTTCAAGGGGCGTGCGACCCCGTCCAGCACAGGGAAATTCATTTGGACAGGTAAGCTGGGCCGGAACTGTTCTGTCATAGGACAAGCTATGCTGTTACCTTTTTTCATCCTGAATCCATATTTTACATGTAAATATTCTACACAATGCGAGCCAACATGGTATTGTGTTTTCAGTATTGGACTACAACTCTGGAGGTGGCTTAGCTAGAGAAACTCACTAAATGGCCTTGGCTAAATCACCTGGAGTTTATCTATACCAGTGGGTCCCCAGATGTTTTGGGCTTCAACTCCCAGAAAGCATAACAGCTGGTAAACTGGCTGGGATTTCTGGGAGTTGTAGGCCAAAACAGGTTGAGAACCACTGATCTACATTGCATAAGTAATGCAGTTTGACACCACTTTAACTATCATGGCTCAATGCTATGGAATCATGGGAGTTGCAATTTCTTGAGCAGCCAGCACCTTTTGGCAAAGAAGGCTGAAGACCTTATAAAACTACAACTCACATGATTCCATGCCATTTAAAGGGATGTTATATTGCATTAATTCTATAATGTAGCTGCATCCATACTTTCAGCCCCAGAAAACCCCATCATAAGGTTGTTGTATGTCATATATGATTTGGAAATACACGACAAATAATTACTTGAGATTTCAAACTCTTCAGTTCTGCTTCCAGTCTTCTCCTTTCTTCGACTTCTTTACTGTATTTTGCTTGCAGTTCTTCATATTTTGACTCTGCCAATGCGGAATAAAAGTCCATTGTGATCTTATTTTTTAAAAATAATCTTATTTTCATTTATGATCTTATACACACAGTAGCACACCTAATGAAGTACATGGAACAATGAAGATATTTAAAGTACATTTTTACAGTATCTAGGATTATGGAATGGTATTTTTCGGAAATAAGAACTGCCTTTACAGAACACAATGTTTGGGAGATTTGCCCTCAGGATGAATGCAAGACATAATAAACAAAGAAGAAGACACAACTGTGGTCATTTTCAGTAAAAACTGAGATTTTTGTTAAGGTTAAGAATTACATTCATACATTTTTAGAAAAGAACAGAATGTACCGTTGAGACTTGGTGTTGAAGGAGTAATGAGGTTCTTCTGTGGTGTGCTGTTGAAAGATACATCTCCAGCAACATGGATCTTCTGATTTTTTTCCAATTCAGATTTGTATCTGTTTTTTTGTGTTTTAAAAAGGGAAGAAAACTTAGCTGAGCATCAACAAAAATAATATTGTATCCTTATTGAGTTAGCTGAAACAAATGTGACAACTTAATGAATAAATTAGGTCTTGCTAAATTCAATGGGAACTCAACTAATTTACAGAATTATTTCATTTATGTTTACTCCTTAGAACCACTGCTCCATAGGAAGTAAGCCAAATGTAGTTTGCTTCCTAATAAATCATAGAATTGGAAGAGACCTCGTTGGGCCATCTAGTCCAACCTCCTGCCAAGAAGCAGGAAAATCACATTCAAAGGACTCCCGACAGATGGCCATGCAGCCTCTGCTTAAATCAATATACTTTTGCTGCCCTAATTTGTATCTCTTAGTCTGAAAACCACAATCCACACTGAAAGATGTGGTTTATATAATAATCAAGACACAGCAATGTTTCACTAACTTCTGTTGTTTCCACAAATCCTAATGAGATATTCATGTCAATGGGTGAGGTTTTGGAGAAGAAAATGTGCACAGAATACAAACAAAACTGATCTCTCAACCGAAAACTCTTTATAATCTTCAAATGGTCAAGAAATTAGTCTAGATGTGTCTATTTGAGCCATTAAAGCATAGGATTTATTTTCTTTCACACATAAATTCTTACACATTTGCTATGTAATACTGTCTTCCAAAACTAAAAGGTTTCTAGATTCAGACCGTTTCCTCAATTTTGTTTAGAGCCAGTAAAAACAGAACAAGATGGGTACAGTTCTATGGGTTTTTTATTTTTATTAGTCAGGAGAGAATGATTCCGGAACATGGCCATACATCCCAGAAAACTCACAGCAACCCAGTAATTCCAGCCATGAAAGCCTTCAACAACAAATATTTTAAAATTGCATTGTTTCAGACTTTGAAGGAATGACATGAGGACAGTCTACTGGAGCAAACCAAAGACTACCTGTTCTAGAAATTTGTCCCTACCATGGCCAACATTGTGCCCAAAGTAAAACCACAAGCAGGATGAGTTTGCAAATCTGGAGACTAGGGTCCAAATCTCTGCTCAGTGATGAAAACCCACTGGGTGTCCTTCGGCAAGTCATACTCTCAGCTTTAGACGAAGGCAAAGCCGCACTAAACAAATCCTACCAGGAAAACCCCACAACATGCTCACTTTGGGTTGCCATAGGTTGGGAATATCTTGAAGGCACACAACAATTGCCAATCAAACTGGATGGCTTCAATGACATGGGACTAGATCCAGAGTAATTCTTCTCATTGTGCCTAGGCAGCCTTTTGGTGATATCCAGCACAACCTTGTAACCTCCTTATGTGTTGAGTTTCTCCTCAAACAAGTCATTCTCACCTTTTAAGTTCTTGTTCTAGGTTTTCAATTTGCTTCTTGCTTGAAATGAGCTGTCCTTCTTGAAAGTTAACTTGAGATTCTTTCACTTGAAGGTCATGAGCAAGTTTCTGCCTTGTGTTTTCTAAGTTATCACACAGTTCCATCAAGTTCTGGTTCTCTCTCTTTAGAGTTGATCCTTCATTTTTTTCTTGATCAACCTTATCAAAAGAGCCCATGATTACTTAATCACATTTGGCTTGATTCTAAGTTTTTACTTCATAAAAATACCTCACTTCGTTCTGGAAAAGAATGAACTCTTTTCAATACCTTTGTCTAACATTCAAAGGGTGTTTGGAAGCATAATGTAAACCAGTGTGTGTTTGACTACAACTTCCACCCACCTTTGCCAACATTGCTAATGATGAGGAATCATCTCAGGTGTAGCCCCAAATCATCAGAAGCAGCCCCATTCAATGTATGGCTTAAGAATATTAACACAGTCCTACATATCTACTTATTAGTTAATATCCAAATAACATTGACCAAATGTGCAATATTATTTTTAGTCAAATTATTTCATCTTATACAGTTCTTGGTTGAAGAACAGTTGACTATTCTTCAATACAATGGTTACTCTACTGATCTTGACCTACACTGGCTGGAGCCTTCAATAAAATTTGATAGAGAAGGAGACTTATGGAGTACTTAGTTTCAGTCTCTCTTAGGAACCTGGTTTCTCAACCTGTGAGTCGACAGATGTGTTGGCCTTCAACTCCCAGAAATCCTAACAGCTGGTAGACTGGCTGGGATTTCTGGGAGTTGTAAGCCAAAACATCTGGGGACCCACAGGTTGGGAACCACGGGTTAAACCATTGTGCCAGCTGAACTGCTGACCTGAAGGTTTGAATCCACAAGAAGGGGTGAGCTCCCATCTGTCAGCTCCAGCTTCCCATGTGGGGACATGAGAGAAGCCTCCCATAGGATAGTAAAACATCCAGATGTCCCCTGGGCAATGCCCCTGCAGACAGCCAATTCTCTCACACCGAAAGCAACTTGTAGTTTCTCAAGTCGATACTGACACACACAAAAATTGTAGCTCCCAAACTGTATTAGAAGCAGCGTGCAGTTTCTAAACAAGAGTTCTTTTAAAAACTTTTAAAAACTCTGACATGTCATCTTAAATACAGGCACTCCCCAAGTTACAAACAACAAAGGTTCTGTAAGCTTGTCCTTAAGCTGAATTTGTATGTTAGTCAGAACACGGGCATTTTTAAGTGTAACTCCACCCATATATATATATAGTTCCACTTAAAAATGTCCCTCTTATAACTATACATACATACATATAGATAGCAAGCTTTGGATAACATATGAAAAGTTTTACTACTCCTGTTTTTGTTTTACTGTCGGTGTCCCTCTTCAGAAGATTTCACCACACTCTCTGTCCCTTCTTGTAGAAACAAGGATTGGTGAGAAAGCTTCAGTTGAGACACCTTTTCCCCATGATAAGTCTTCCAGGAGTGAATTTCCCTTCCTAGGGGTAGTTCTCTGTCCCATTCTGTTGTCTCACCCCTGTTCTTAACTATGAGTCATTTGTAAGTCATATTTGCAAGATTTATCAAATATTTTATATACTAATTTGCTATTTTCAAGTAACCCCAAAACAACATACATTAATGACAGACCTGGTTACTGGGGGCTTCCATTCTCAGATTATACAAATTACAATCATTTAAATGGGTCTTAATAGCAAAAAAGATTGCTTGAAATAGCTAAGCAGATATTTCTAGTATGCTCATTCTTTTAAAATTAAAGCTATTAAAATTACGAGAGTGTGTTCTAAATTATTGATTAAAAAGAACACCATAATTCCGCCTAAATTAGTATCACATTTTATACATTCTTAGATTACCTTCTGTTTTTGTTTTTGTAAAGCCGCCTCTAGAGATTCCAGCTGAAACTGCTTTTGTTGCCGTTCTTTTTTCAACTTCTCTAGTTGACTTTCAAGTTCTTGAATCTTGTGAAGGACTTTTGTGGAAAGGCCTTCTTTCCATTCTTCCACAACCCAGCTCATTTTATCTGCGTTCACTTTCTTAAAGACATAAAAAACATCACAAAGTGAAGAAAAGAGAAGAATTATACAGAAAGGCACTGCCCTTAAAATATGTAAAACTATTCTTATTTTTTCATTGCATTAAAGAAATACGTTTGTGCTTCAGGCTGGAATATTAGATGTGTATGCCTCAGTGTGAGTCTCACTAGTTTTAAGAAAACTTACTTCTGAGCAAAATGTGTATAGACTGCTCAGCAAGTCTTATTCCTCAGGTGCATATGTGGGATTGAAAAGGGAGTCAGAATAATATAGTAATTAGGATCACTTGAGTGCTTATTAGGCCAGGTGTATGCTTTAAAGAATTTTATTGAGTTTTGTTCATAAATTAATATCTTTCTTCTAACTGCCTTCCAGTGCATAGTGGGTTAAACTGCTAAGCTACTGAATTTGCTGACCGAAAGGTCAGTGGTTTAAATTCAGGGAATGGGGTGAACTCCTACTGTTAGCCCCAGCTTCTGACAACCTCATGGAGCCCCCAGTGCTGCAGTGGGTAAACCACTGAGCTGCTGAACTTGATGACCAAAAGGTCGACGGTTTGAATCCAGGGAGCGGCGTGAGCTCCCACTGTCAGCCCCAGCTTCTGCCAACCTAATAGTTTGAAAACATGCAAATTTGAGTAGATCAATAGGTACCACTCCGGCAGGAACGTAACAGCACTCCATGCAGTCATGCCAGCCACATGGCCTTGGAGGTTTCTACAGACAACGGCAGTTCTTAGGCTTAGAAATGGAGATGAGCACCAACCCCCAGAGTCAGATATGACTGGACATAATGTCAGGGGAAAACCTTTAACTTTACCTCTGCCAACCTAGCAATTCAAAAGCATGCCAATATGGGTAGATCAATAGTACCGCTTCGATAGGAAGGTAACTGCACACCATGCAGTCATGCTGGCCACATGACCTTGGAGGTGTCTACGGACAACGCCGGCCCTTCAGCTTAGACATGGAGATGAGCACCAACCCCCAGAGTCAGACACGACTACATGTAATGTCAGTAGAATCCAGTTCACTGTTCATTTTTTCACATCCATATACCAAAGTGGAAAATAAGATGGCTCAGACAATCCTAACTTTAACATTCAATTATATATCTGTACACTTCTGGATGTCTATATCTTCAGACACACATCTGATTGATAATACAAGGGAAGAGTTGAACAACCACGTCAAAACCTTGATCTAAAAAGCTGCTGAAATCTAACAATAATAATGATACCAATACAAAACTTCCCAATTAAAAGCCTTTTGGTAACAAACAATAAGCACTTAAAGTCCTTGGTAAAAGGGGAAAGAGAAAAAGGTTCACATGAGAGGAAATTCCACAAACTGGGAGCAATCACCAAGAAGGCTCTCCTCTTCATCCTCACCAAATGTTTCTTTGCTGGTGGGGGGACTCAGGAAGAATTTCCTGATGGTACAAGAGTTGTTCAGTAGTGGAATATGCTGCCTTGGGTTGTGATAAAGTCTCCTTCTCTGGAGGTTTTTAAGCAGTGGCGGGATGGCCAACTGTTGAGAGTGCTTTAATTTTCTGTTCTTGCATGGCAAGAGGTTGGACTAGATGGCCCTTGCAGTTTCTTCTAACTCTATGATTGTAAGGGCCCTTCCAGACAGGCCCTATATCTAAGGATCTGATCCCAGGTTTTCTATTTATCCCAGATTACCTGGCAGAGGGGACTCATATAATCCAGTTTGAAGAAGAAAACCTGGGATCGGATCCTGGGATACAGGGCCTGTCTGGAAGGGCCCTTACAATCATAGTTAGAAGAGACTGCAAGGGACATCCAGTCCAACCTCTTGCCATCCAGGAACATCTTGGATTTCTGCATTTAGGCAGGCCTATTTACTATTAGTACTTTATGCAGTCCTCTCCTGAAAGTGCATTAGCCTCTGCTATGTACTCAACCATTAAACAGGAAAACACAACAATTAAAATAAACCAGTGGTTCCCAACCATTTTTGACCAGGGACCACTTGGCTAGGGAGCACTCTCTAACATTAGTACCAAAAGGGTTACAAATCAGTTTTTGGTCAACTTTAGATTCGGTTTATTATTTGGGGTGCTGATTCAAAAAACTACAATGGTTAGACATCAGCTCTAGTTTCTGATACAGAACATATGCCATCCAGTAGTCTCCATCTGCTCATGCACAGAAAACCATATTTAATAAGGCTCAGCACTATATGAGGGTTTCACGAGACCCGTTGCTCTAGTTGCAACAGTGTAGTAATGGTGAGGCTGTGGACCATATTTTAGTTCTTGGAGACCACTGGTGGTCCACGGACCACAGGTTGGGAACCACTGAAAAAAATGAACGAATGCAATCATATCATGCCAAAACAGAAAGAGACTGTGGCAATATACCAATGATTTCTCAATATGTGTCAGTGTTTTCCTTAGCTTATATATACTGTGTATCTGCCAGTTATTTACATTTTACTGTTTCCAGTTTTGACAAAAACAAAAATCTCCTTCTTCTTCCCAGTGAAGTCTAGTGAACGGCACCTGTCATATATTGGCACATATTCCCCTGCATCTTCTTCACCCCACTGACCATCCTTTATTGTTGTTGTTGTTGTTATTATTATTTGAAACACAAGATTAGTACACAGCAAGAAAGATCACTCTCCTGGCTGTTGTACTGGATCACACATCAGACACTTCCCAAATGTCTAGGACTGTGTGATGTATCGGCGAATAATGCGTGCAGATCCAAGTAGGATGGCCTTTTGCAGCTGACAGATGGTAATTTTGTCAGCGCCGATTGTGTTTAAGTGCAGGCCAAGGTCTGCCGATCACCACTGGTATTTCAGTGCAAAAGGATGTCCCTGAAATCTTCCAATAGATAAACTACAGGAAGTCCCCGAATTACAGACACCTTTGGCAAAATTGTCAATTTAGTCAATGCTTAGAAAACTCTTAGAGCAAGGATGATATACATCTACACCTGACATGGCCAAATTTCAGGTGTTTTGGACTTAGAGTCATAGAATCATAGAGTTGGAAGATACTTCATGGGCCATCCAGTCCAACCCCCTGCCAAGAAGCAGGAAAACTGCATTCAAAGCACCCCCGACAGAGGGCAATCCAGCCGCTGTTTAAAAGCTTCCAAAGAAGGAGCCTCCATCACACTCCGGGGCAGAGAGTTCCACTGCTGAACGGCTCTCACAGACAGGAATTTCTTCCTAATGTTCAAATGGAATCTCCTTTCTTGTACTTTGAAGCCATTATTAAACTCCAAATTGTGCCCATGCCTGATCAACACTATAGAGTTAATGCAGTTTGACTCCAACTTTAACTGCCATTGCTCAATGCTATGGGATCCTGGGAGTTGTAGTTTTGTGAGGTCTACACACACTCTTCTGCCAAAGACTGCTGGCTCCTCAGCAAACTACAAATCTCAGGATCCCGTATCATTGAGCCATGGCAGCTAAAGTGGTATCGAACTGCATTCATTCTGAAGTGTAGATGCACCTGGGGTGGTTTACAAAAGACAAGGCATTAAGATGTTGCACTCAACAGGCACAAACATTTGACAGTCACTATGTATACAGACTGCTCAAACTTCCGTACAGTGGCCCTTATTTCTCATGCCAGTAAGGTAATGCTCAAGATCCTGCAAGGAAGACTCCAGCAATACATGGAGCGAGAGTTGCCAGATGTTCAAGCTGGGTTTAGAAAAGGCAGAGGAACGAGAGACCAGATTGCCAATATCCGTTGGATAATGGAGAAAGGCAGGGAGTTTCAGAAAACATCTATTTTTGCTTCATTGACTATTCTAAAGCCTTTGACTGTGTGGATCATAATAAATTGTGGCAAGTTCTTAGTGGGATGGGCATCCCAAGCCACCTTGTCTCTCTCCTGAGGAATCTGTACAAGGACCAAGTAGCAACAGTCAGAACTGACGACGGAACAACAGACTGGTTCAAGATTGGGAAAGGCGTATGGCAAGGCTGCATACTCTCACCCAACCTTTTTAACTTGTATGCAGAACACATCATGCGATGTGCGGGGCTGGATGAATGCAAGCTGGGGTGAAAATTGCTGGAAGAAACATTAACAACCTCAGATATGCAGATGACACCACTCTGATGGCCGAAAGCGAGGAGGAGCTGAGGAGCCTTCTAATCAAGGTGAAAGAAGAAAGAGCAAAAGCCGGGTTGCAGCTAAACGTCAAAAAAACCAAGATTATGGCAACAAGAATGATTGACAACTGGAAAATAGAGGGAGAAACCGTGGAGGCCGTGACAGACTTTGTATTTCTAGGTGCAAAGATTACTGCAGATGCAGACTGTAGCCAGGAAATCAGAAGACGCTTACTTCTTGGGAGGAGAGCAATGTCCAGTCTCGATAAAATAGTGAAGAGTAGAGACATCAGACTGGCAACAAAGATCCGCCTAGTCAAAGCCATGGTATTCCCTGTAGTAAACTACGGATGTGAGAGCTGGACCTTAGGGAAGGCTGAGCGAAGGAAGATCGATGCTTTTGAGCTGTGGTGTTGGAGGAAAGTGCTGAGAGTGCCTTGGACTGCGAGAAGATCCAACCAGTCCATCCTCCAGGAAATAAAGCCCGACTGCTCACCGGAGGGAAGGATACTAGAGACAAAGTTGAAGTACTTTGGCCACATCATGAGGAGACAGGAAAGCCTAGAGAAGACAATTATGCTGGGGAAAGTGGAAGGCAAAAGGAAGAGGGGCCGACCAAGGGCAAGATGGATGGATGGCATCCTTGAAGTGACTGGAATGACCTTGAGGGAGCTGGGGGTGGTAACGGCCGACAGGGAGCTCTGGCGTGGGCTGGTTCATGAGGTCACGAAGAGTCGGAGACGACTGAACGAATGAACAACAACAATGTATACAGATCTAGACTTAAGAATATATCTATCTATCTATCTATATATATCCTTAAGTCTAGATCTATCTATCTATCTATCTATATCCTTAAGTCTAGATCTATATATATATATCCTTGTCTAGATCTATCTATCTATCTATATCCTTAAGTCTAGATCTATCTATCTATCTATCTATCTATCTATCTATCTATTCTTAACTCTCGATCTATATATATATATATATATCCTTAAATCTAGATCTATATATACACACACATATCTCCTTAAGACTAGATCTCTATCTATCTATCTATGTATCTTTCTATATCCTTAAGTCTAGATCTATCTATCTATCTCTCCTTTAGTCTAGATCCCTACCTTTCTTCTCCAGGGAAGTCCTCTCTTTTGCTTTCCCTCCAGAACCGCTGAAGATTCAAACCTGCCACCATCTCCTGCAAACGTTCTATTGCTGGCACCACGCTGGACGTGATTGGTCGCCCGAGAAGACCAAGTTTCCTTGGCGTGCTTCAGTTGGACCAATAGAAGCCCCCCGAACGCGTGACGTCTCCCTGCCGAGCGGGAAACTGGGCTCTTTTGGAAGCTAATTGGGCGAGAAGAGAAGGGAGGCGGGAGCGTGGCTTGCTTTGTCTACTTGGATCTGTTTGGGAATTGTCAAGCAGGGAAGGGCGCGCTTTTTTGGCGTCCAGCCTCCAGTCTTTTGTCCGTTTGCCGGGAAATTAGACACGCTTGTCAATTAGAGATTGCTTTTGCCTAGACTGGGTGCAGCTACACCAGGCATGGGCAAACTTGGGCCCTCCCTCCAGATGTTTTGGACTTCAACTCCCACAATTCCTAACAGCCTGAGGCCAAAGTAATGAAGTTTAACACCACTTTAACTGGCATGGCTCAATGCTATGGAATCCTAGGAATTGTAGTTTGGTAAAGCACCAGCCCCCAGCAACGCAGTGGGTTAAACCGCTGAAGTGCTGAACTTGCTGACTGAAAGATTGGCAGTTCGAATCCGGGGACCAGGGTGAGCTCCTGCTGTTAGCCCCAGCTTCTGCCAACCTAGCAGTTCGAAAACATGCAAATGTGAGTAGATCAATAGGTACCGCTCTGGCGGAAATGTAACGATGCTCCATGCAATCATTTATTTATTTACATTATTTATATCCCGCCCATATCAGCCCGCAGGCGACTCATGCTGGCCACATGACCTTGGAGGTGACTACAGACAACGCCGGCTCTTTGGCTTAGAAGTGGAGATGAGCACCAACCCCCAGAGTCGGACACGACTGGACTTAATGTCAGGGGAAAATATTTACCCTAAAGCACCAGCACTCTGGATGAGTAGGCCAAAGTTGTAAAATGACAACTGTCATAGCACTGAACCATGTCAGTTAAAGTGGTGTCAAACTGCATTAATTCTACAGTGTGGATACACCCTGGAATTGGAGGAGAGAGGAAAAAATACACACAAGGGAAGAAAAATGTAGACAGAAGTGTAACTGGAAAAATAATATAACGGGAAAGGAAGAGGAACTCACACAGACCTCACAACCTCTGAGGATGCCTGCCATAGATGCAGGCAAAATGTCAGGAGAGAATGCTTCTGGAACATAGCCATACAACCCAAAATATTTACAGAAACCTCTCACAAGAATAAATTTTATTTCTTTATACACTAGACTCTTGGTTAAATGAGACAAGCAAACAAAACTCAAGCAACTGGCAAAAGCATCGAAGAAATAATACTTTGGGTTGTAGGTTTTTTGGGCTATATGGCCATGTTCTAGAAGCATTCTCTCCTGACGTTTCGCCTGACCTCACAACCTCTGAGGATGCTTGGCATAGATGCAGGTGAAACGTCAGGGGAGAATGCTTCTAGGACATGGCCATATAGCCCGAAAACCTTACAACAACCCAGTGAATCCAGCCATGAAAGCCTTTGACAAAATAATACTTTAAACAGAAATTCAAATAAAATCAATGTTAGTGGAAATGTTGTATTAATGTATTGTCGAAGGCTTTCATGGCTGGAATCACTGGATTGTTGTGAGTTTCCCAGGCTGTATGGCCTTGTTCTTCTGGAGATGCCTGCCATAGATGCAGGTGAAATGTCAGGAGAGAATGCTTCTGGAACATGGCCATACAGCCCAGAAAACTCACAACAACCCAATGTTATATTAAGTTTGTCTTTATTTACTTTTAATTACTGTATTTCAATATTAATATCAAGGCAATACAGAGGTTATGGTGTGGCACAGTATTAGGCCTATTTTTGGTGTTAACTCTTGAGCAAACGGAAATTACATTTCTACCTGGCATCCAGCTGAGGACTGTATGGACAAGTTTCTCAGGCTGTTAAAAAAAAACCCAGAAAGATCGGAATCCCTTTTCTGTTCTTGCCACTAGGTGATTCCCTTTTCCAAGAAAAAGGCCGATATGATAATTAGTTTTCCAGGGAAAAATCAAGAAATCTATGAGTAGTGTTTTCAAGCTTTTGTTCAGGGTTGCCTGATTTTAACATTTTCCCACTTCTTTTTTAAAAAATGATGTTATTTCTGTCTTTTTATGCAAATATTTGTATGGAGGTTCTTAAAGCTGAGCAATATATTAGCACCAGCATTAACTGTGCTGTGAGCTTCCCCATTTAAGCAGGATTGTTAAACAGCTCCCAAATGCATTTAAAGTTAATTAGCTGGATATATTCTTACTATAATCATTTTTTTTCTAATCTAAGGTGCCATTGATTATAAGATGCACACTGATTTCAGTACCATCAACAATATTTATTTATATATTGCATTTATATGCCGCTTTTCTCACCTGTGGGGATTCAAAGCGGTGTGCAGCATAATAAATGGCAAAATTCAGTGCATATACATCACCTATCAAATCAATAAATATGACTATAAATTAAAACCATTAAAACTATAAAAACATCAAACATAAACATTGTAATGATCCTGAGGTTGTCATTTGACTAATTCAATATTGCTGCCACTCCCCAAATGCTAGCTTGAATAGCCAAGTTTTAAGTAGTTGTCTGAACTCCAGGACGGAGGGGACCGATCTCATCTTGCTGGGAAGGGAGTTCTACAGCCAAGGGGCCACCACCGAGAAAGCCTTGTATCTCGTTCCCACCAGTCGCACCTGTGAAAGTGACAGGACCGAGAACAGGACCTCTTAATGCTCAAACTGGCTCATAAAGAGAGATGCGTTCAAACCGATAAGCTGGACTAGAACCACTTAGGGATTCATCGGCTAAAGCCAGCACTTTGAATTATGCTGGGTAGCAGACTGGCAGCCAATAGAGGTGGCTCAGCAGGGGGTTATCTGCTCCCGCCTCTCCAGTAAGAAACCTGGCTGCTACCCATTGGACTACTTGAAGCTTCCAAACAATCTTCAAAGGCAACCCCACGTAGAATGTATTGCAGTACAGTGTTCCCTCACTTATTGCGGGGGTTCCGTTCCAGGACCACCTACGATAAGTGAAAATCCACGAAGTAGGGATGCCATATTAATTTTAATATTTATACATTATTTTATATATATATATCATATATTATTTTATTACCTGTGCTTTCTTACCCGCCTCCCAGCCCATCCCAAGGGCACCTGCCTGCCTGATTCCCTTGCCTCCGCAGACCCCGGCAGAGGCTTCGGAGCCACGCAGGCAGCAGCATGCCAGGGAGGCAGGCATTCCCCACTGCACCTCAGGCCACCACACTTCCGGGATCTGTGGAGGCCAGGGAGGCAGGCCTTCCCTGTCACACCTCTGACTGCCACACTTCTGAGGTCCCTGTCCTCCACTGTGAATATTTTATATTAATACTTTCAAAAACCCGTGAAACAGCAAGTCCACTAAAAGCAAACCATGAAGTAGCAAGGGAACACTGTAGTCTATTCGAGATGTAACAAGAGCTTGGACCACCATGGCCTAGCCTGACTTCCCAAGGTACAGGTGCAAATGGCACACAAGTTTTAATTGCACAAACGCTCCCTTGGCCACCACTGAAACCTGGGATTCCAGGCTCAGCAATGAATCCAGGAGAACTCCCAAGCTGTGAACCTGTGAATTCACGGGGAGTGTAATCCCGTCCAACACAGGCTGTAACCCTATACTCTGTTCTGGTCTTACGACTGACCAGAAGTACCTCTGTCTTGTCTGGATTGTGTTTCAAGTTGTTCACCCTCATCCAGACCATCACGGCTGCCGAGCACCAGTTCATATATAGATGCACCCCATTTTTGGAGATGTTTAGAGAGACAAACAATTTTACTATTTTACTGCACCATTGTATGAAATGAGACTCGGATTTCAGCATTAGCTGGGATCCTAGAACCAAACCTCAGTAAATACTAAAATCTTCCTGTATGTGATTTATTTATATCTGTTATTATTATTACTATGAATAATAATAATATCCTGCATTTTCACACTTAAAAGAGACTCCAAGCAGCAAACAATACTCAAAACAATACAGTTTCCTTGGAAATAGTGGAAGAGAGTAATAGAACTGAGTGTAATCAGAATAGTGGTAAGACATGACTCCTTGTTTTCAGAGGCAATAAACCTATGCATTTTATACATGCATTGAGGTATTCTATTCTCTAATAATTGTTAACCAATAGGTTTAGAAACTTAAAACTTTGTATGTGAATTATTTATATCTAATAATAATAATAATAATAATAATATCTTACGTTTTCACTCTTAAAAGAGACTCCAAGCAGCAAACAATACAAATAACAATACAGCTTCCTTCGAAATAGGTGGAACAGAGTAATACAGCTAAGTATAATCAGAATAGTGGTAAGACGTGACTCCTTGTTTTCAGAGGCAATAAACCTATGCATTTTATACATGCACTGAGGTATTCTATTCTCTAATAACTGTTAACTAATAGGTTTAGAAAGTTTAAAATCACTCTCAAACACATTATAAATGTGGTTCTTGCCTGTTAACATGCAGTTTGGGCCTTCTAGCTTGAAGCAATTTCTACCACTTTGCTGCACATATTTGGAAAAATGTACTGTAGAAAGTACTACATTTCAGAGCAGAGGTGTGTGATCTGTTTCTGATACTTAAAAAGAGAGTCCTCACTGAATAAGCATTTTATTGATGTACAAAATTGTCCGCAAAATAATTATTTTTTCACTTAAATATCCACATTGTAACTACAGTCCATACTTTCTCTTTTTTTATATAGACGGGGAACCTGCTGGAAAACTTTTTGGCTTCCAATGCTGTCTTAGTAATTGTGAGCCACAAAGTTATTTTAACAAGTTAGATCATGCTTCATAACAGGTTTGTTTTCCAGGATTGTGTAATCCAAATTCCTTTTCTAAAAGAAAAAAAAAGATTGGCAAGTATGGCTGTTAGTATGTAACTATAGGCCCTTCCAGACAGGCCACATATCCCAGGATATGATCCCAGGTTTTCTGCTTTAAAAAGGATTATATGAGTCCGCAATGACAGATAAT